TTTCATATTATACAAGTATATTTTTTGTGACAAGAACTTCCCATGGGTACCAACAATTTTGACCCCTTTCCTATTTTGGCGATATGTTTTATGAAATTTGAAATAAAGAAAAAATACAAATGATACTTTCAAATTTTAAAATGTGAAGACTACGAATAATAGTCATGCTTTTAAGTAAAATTTAACAATGCAAATGCGAACCTAGGAAAACATCAGAGCTGAGCTCAGGTACCATTGAAAAATGAGAATCCTCTGTCGACCGAACCCATCCGCTGTGTGTGCCTTTGTAAATTTGGACAAATAGGGAAATCAAAAAACACTGCATTGTGTAGAATAATTACCTAACAATTTTAGTCAATACTCAACTTTACGACGGATTCTATTTACAAACAAGGTCATTGGATCGACCATAGATTTTGCGAAATATTGACTTAAAATAAAACTATTGATATCTATCATTCATCAATTTATTTGTCAGTGATCTGCCTCGGTTTACAAAGAACAAGGTTTACTTAAGGCCCTTTTGGCCCTGTAAATTTCTGAAAAATTGAAACTGCTTAATTTCAAAACTTTACTATAATAGTTATACTGTTAACATATCACTTGGTAAATTGAAAACGCATTAAATATTATTTAGATTCTTAGTGACTCATAGGTAGAACATGCTCTTTCGAATCGAATCAACAAGGAAACTTCTAACCCATGTGCAGGTGATAAAGGTGTACTAATAAATAAACAAAGGAAATTGATGATAGAAAAGTTTGTCATCACTTTTATCATAAAGATACTTAATTCTTTGCCATGGATGTCTTCCTCTGGTAAAACATCAAAATTTGAAAGTAATGATGTTTCATACTTTGCCTTATCTTTTTTTTTTTTTTTTCGAATTCCATTGGACATATTGACTCAGTTTGTGAATGAAAATAAATATTGTTAATTGACAAAACAATATCAATTATTCAAAATGTCGAATTAAAAGCCAAAGGAAGAATTCCTTTTTTATGCCGTAGGAGGTTTTGAATACAAATCTGCTTCATGAAATTACCCAAAAAATGATCCTGCATATTGGTCCAAATTAAAAACCATGAAAATTTAAGTAAGTTATTGATAGGTCTATATATTTTATATATTCTGTGTTTTTAATATTCTGCTTGTGGATGTCAAAATTGATTTTCTCAAATTTAGACCCAAGTAATGTAGATTTTCACTGATAGGTTGCAGTTATAGAATTCTGGAAAACAATTTACAATTACACTTGATACAGCTATTACGCTTCAATTCCTTAGGTTCCCTAAACCATAAAAACCTCGGGAAACCTAAAGCTGCCCAGTACTTTCCCAATGTGAAAGTTGTTGAGACCTGGCGAGAATTATAAAATGAGTTGAATTCTGAAAATTGGTACATTGTCAAATAAAAAAAAAGTATAATTACATTAAGGAAATTCATGACCAAATGTGACATTCCAAAAGCTTATTGAAAAACTTTTTTTTTAATTTATAGATGCAATACTGTATACAGAGTTATATTCGCCCAGTCTTATTTTCGCCCTTTCACACTTGCAAGTAATTTTGCCCCGTTTTAAATCGCCCAGTCACAGTTCCATTTAAGATGTTATACCGTCTTTTTTGAATTCGCCCCGTCTTAATTTCGCCCACTTGTGTGTAGGGCCAAAGGGGCGAAAATAAAACGAAGGCGAAAATTTTCCTGTATACAGTTTATATTTCTTACCATACCTTTGACACTTTGACCTCAAAATCAATATGTTTTTTAAGGCTATGGGGAGTTGTGAAGTAAAACATCATTGCAAAATCTCAGAGGCTACTTTTAAGATATTGTTTGGAAAAAAAGTGTTACACAGACAGAATGTATGCTGCATGAACTTGATCTTTGATCCTTCTTCATGCGATAGGGAGTTGTGATACGAAATTTTATTGAAGAGATTCAAACTTATGGTTACATTGTATCATCTTGAAAATGTTACTTCAATTGATGAATATATGGCCTTTGACCTTTAGACCTCAAAATCAAATGGGTCTCCTTTCGGCCATAAGAATTTGTGATGTATATAATCATATTACAAAAGGTCATTTTTCCTAATATAGCATGAAAACAAAAGTGTTGTACACAAACAAATTGTTTTAAGTTATTATCTTAACCTCTAACTTTTGACCTCCAAATCGATAGGGGTTTTCTTTAAGTCATTGGGAATTGTTATATTAAATTTTATTGAAGAAAGCTCAAGGAAAACAAATGCTATACTTTGAAAAAAAAAGTTGTTTGTAATGTATGAAATTTAACCTTGACTTTTGATTTTTTGACTTTAATAAGGTTTTGGTTTTAAGGCATGAAGGAGTTGAAATGTAATTTTCTTTGAAAAGCTCAAAGACTTTTGTAGATATTGCCCGAAAACGAAATTGTTACACACAACAGAATATGGCGCAAAATCTATAAATGCAAAATATTATTAATCTAAAATGACTGTTTTTACTTTTTGCGCGATTACATTCTGCCTTGATCTTGACGCAAAATGTAATAACACAAAACGTAATGATCTAAGTTTAATACATTTTGTGTCATTATTTTACGTTGAAAAGGTGGTTGATTGTATGTATTGCGTATTGTTCGATGACCGTCTATATACACTCATTAAAACAAAAATCAAAAATTGCTGAAATAAGCTTTTTTTTAAGACATCATGTTTCTGTATATAAAAAGACACAACCCTTACAAAAAATACTACAGTTAATATAATTTACTATAGGGCAATATTGACAATTGACAATCTCGATATGGTTTTTGGGGACCAGGTCTTCCACCAATCTATTGGAATTCCCAAGGATACCAATTGCGCCCGTTATTAGCAGACCTTTTTAATATTTATATGAAGCAGAATTTGTCCAAAAACTTATACGTGAAAAGATGATTATTTGCTTGATTGTATGTTGTTTAACGTCCCTCTCGAAAATTTTTCACTCATATGGTGACGCCACCATTTGCCGGTGGAGAGCTGCAAATTTTGTCCTATACTCGGCACTTACGGCCATTGAGCAGTGAGGGATCTTTTTCGTACCAGCACCTACTGCAACACGGGACCTCGGTTTATACGGTCTCATACAAAGGACCGGTCTCCACGTCCCACAGAGGGATTCGAACCCGCGACATAAGGATCAACTCCTTACTTCGTGACTCTAGAGCAGACGCTCTAAGCACTGCGCCACGCGGGCGACTATACGTGAAAAGAAGAAAACACTTGCTGTGGCCTTCAACTCGACGTTTAGATATGTCGACGACGTATTGTCAATTAACAATGGCTATTTCCATCCTTATGTCGATACGATATATCCCGGCAAGCTTGAGATAAAAGATACTACAGAGTCTGACACATCTGTTTCATATTTGGATATTTTACTTGAAAAAGACGTTAATGGTAATCTAACAACCAAGATTTAAGATAAACGTGATGACTTTAACTTTTCAAACGTCAACTTCCCTTACTTATGCAGCAATATACCTTCATCGCCTGCATACGGGGTTTATATCTCTCAGTTGATTCGATACGCAAGAGCTTGCTCTACGTATGTACAATTTCTAAAACGAGGTAAATTATTGACAAACAAGTTGATGAAACAAGAATATCAGCAGTTTCGTTTAAAGTCATCATTCCGTAAGTTCTATGGTCGATACAATGACCTTGTCAGCAAATACAATTCATCATTGAGTCAAAGCTGACTGACGTTTTTCATACTAATTTTTAGGCCATTATTTACACACTGAATTGTCGACGGATTTTTCCGTTATTCCTGATCATGACAAGGAGCACACAGCGGGTGTGACCCGTCAGCAGAGGATGCTCACTCCACCATGGCACCTGATCCCACCTCTGATGTTTTGGAGGTTCGTGTTTGCTTTGCACCTATTTTGTAATGTTTAATGGACTTTTGAGCTTGAATACTGTTCGTCATCTCCATATATTTCATAGTTATATCGATAACTATATTGATAACTTTGACACTATGGAAACTATAGTTAATTCACTATAGTGATAACTCTACCACTTTGATTTACTATAGTGATTACTATGGCTCTATAGTGATAACTATGAGGACTCTGGAATATTTTAGTGATAACTATGAAAACTTTGATATTTATGGTGTAAACTTTATTAAATTGTTAAGAAATTGTTACTTACCGTATATATTCGCCAATAGGTCGGTCCGCCTATAAGTCGGTTGTTCTTTTTTAACTTATATTGGGGGATTTGATATAGACCTGCTTATAAGTCGTTACAATTTTTTGCCAGAATCAATTGACCATTCCAAGTCAACATGCTCAAACATCTTGAGAAATGACGCCGATTTTTTTTTTTTTTTTTCAATTACGAGGTGCTTAATGTCCAAGCAATATCTGCAATACACTTGAACTATTTTTGGCAATTATCATGATTAAGGTTTCCTTCGTTTACTTAACAATTATTGTCTCGCAATTACCTGCATCGCTTACCTGACACTGTATTAACTTAGTGGCATGCACCCCGAAAATCAAGCTGTGTTCATGGTTATCAAAATAAATTATACACACTTAAGGTTGAATAAAAATATTTGTGCATAATCTTAGAATGCATAACTATATAGTGTGTTCAGACTTTTGTAAACGATAATCATCGGATTTTTTTTTTTAATTCTACATTTGCCGTCTAGAAAAATACATTTTTTTCAAGATTTGACTATAAGTCCGACACAGAGTTTTGGACCAAGATTTAACTCCAAAAAACGAACTTATAGTCGAGTATATCAATTTGAATGAAAAGCGGAAAAAAATGTTCTTAATGACGATTGAAAAATAACAGACAGGTCAGTGAAAGGCAACTTAAAGAGGACGGTTAGGGTACAGAAGGATATCTGAAAGATAACTGAAATGTGTCCCCTGAATGTAGACTGAAATGTGCCTGATTTATGGCTAAAAGGTAATTTAAAGGTCACTGAAATGTGTCTGCCGTTCAGTTACTGAATGACCACTAAAAAAGTCACTGAAAATCCCTTTACAGTTTTAATTGAAAGGTCTCTTTACTTCCCATGAAGAGACATTTTATTGACAGGAAACATAAAAATGTACATTGTATGTCCTTCCACTTGCTTCGATCATTCGAATATTTACAAGCCACAATATCAGAAAATGTAAAAAAAAAAAAAAAAAAAAAAAACTTACAAAGTATAAATATTTGTTGTAAAGATGATGAAGTAGATCCATATGAATTTGTACTGTAGCAGGAATAATTTGCAGTGTGATAACACTTGGCAGATGACTCTCTGTATGTAAGGGATACTAATGGTCCATCCGATGCCTTTTCTTCTCCAGTATCTACATTCATAATGTTTAAGTCAGAAAAAGGATAGCTGTCAACTTTACAAGTGATGCTGAATGGCGAGGATTCTTCATACGTCGTGTTGCCACTGTCTTGGAATACTTCTACCGTTGGAGGATCTACAAAATTATTTTGGTAAAAACAAACATTCAGAATCAATGATTTATATCCGTAGGCCTCACAGTAATTTTTATACATACAGTTGACATAAACACTGATGGTTCTTGAGGAGGAACTGATGCTGTTGCTAGCAGTGCATGTGTAATTCCCTCTCTCTGTACGCTTAAGTACTCCAAGGTCTAACATTCCTGAATTCACAGTAGCCACACCTGTCCATCGGTATGTACACTTAGGGTTACAGACAGCTGCACAATGAACCGGGAATAGTGTTTGATTTTCTGTTTTATTAATGGTCATGACATCTGGGAAAAACATTACCATAGCTGGACCATCTGAATAAATGTATCATAAAATTCCATAGATTATGTATATAGTCTTTATGAACATAAACATGTTTAAAATTTACATTATCATTGCTCGTAAAATAATGGTTTAATTATAACACTTTTTTTAACAATAAACTTTCTTTAAATATAAAGCATGTTCAATTTAACCGGAATAGAGTGATTTTTTTAATACAAAAATGAAAAGATTGTACACTATTTCAATGCTATTTCTAGTCATTTATGTAAAGTTCTTTCATGAAAAGGCAATCGGATTAGGATTTGCCTACCCGTTCAGCGCAAATTTTTTTGAACAAAGAAACCCTGTTGCTTATTCTGTAGAGCGCTCGCTCTGTAGGCAGAGGATGTGATCCATTCAAGACAAATTTAAGTTTTGTCAATTATGTAACATTTTTTTCGTTTAAAACAATGCAAATTATGAGTAGATCTAACATATATTTCTGAAAAATATATGTGGGTTCAGTTTTCATGGAGGAGTTAACATCCCCTGCCGACATGTCACATCCGCCGTGTGCTCTTTGTCATGATCGAGTAAACGGAACATTCATAAAAAATCAGTGTGAAGTAATGGCCTAACAATTTGCATGATAAAAAGTCAGTCAAGATTCGATCTAAGGACAGATTGTGCTTGCAAACAAGGTCATTGTGTGGAACATAGATTCTGCGAAATGTTGCATTTAACGAGATTGTTTATATATCTGTATCATTATCCTATGTGTCAATAGCCTGCCTCATTTAGAAACTGTCCCTACGTAAAACATGCTCTTGTATATCTTATCAACTGGGATAAATATACTCCATATGTAGGTGATAAGAGTATATTACTATTTAAATAAGGGGAATTAACGGCGGAAATGTTGAAGTCATCATGCTTATCAACATGGTATAGTTGTCAGTTTTCCATCAAGTGAAACATCTATATATGAAACAGATGTGTCAGACTCTATGGGGTCCTTTATTTCGAGTTCAATGGATACATAAATCGACGTGGGAATAAAAAGAAATCTTTTTAATCTATAAAACGACTTCGATTCATCTTAATGTCGAATTGAAGACAACAGCTAGAAACTCTTTTTTATGTAGAAGTTTTTTTTAAAATAAATTCTGCGTCGAATGAATACAAAAGTAGGTCTGCTAATAACGAGACACAAAAAGCTTAGTATAAGTGACTTATCATTTAAACAAGAATAAAGATACTGAATTATTTATATCTAGCAAGGAAAGCTTGAGTATTTGGAATATGTCGTCTTGATAAGCCCTCATTAGCCCCAACATCATTTAATAGTCAACAAAGAGCAACAAAATTTCTAGATAGTTTAGATGTACTATGGTTGATCAAAGATTTATGACATAATTGCGATAGAATTTTTAATAAAGGGAAGTACTCAACAAAATTTAATGCTCATTCCTATATCGATATTGGCCATTACATTAAACTTTGAATAAGATGCATACAATATGCTTTATGAAAAAAAAAAAAAAAACAATGCACAAAGCTACGGAGTAAATATTTCAATACGAAGCCCCAATCTCATTCCAAAATTTTTGTATCAGGGGCCATTTATTTCAGAACTTTGAAGAAGTATAGAGTTTCCAAAAAAAAAAAAAATGGAAAATTTGCTATTGCAAGCAATAGCGTAAGTCACTCTGAACTGAACCGTAAGCAGTAAGATTATTCCAATACTTCAAAAGGTGAGTATTCGTAGAAAAAGACCCCCCCCCCCTTTCACACACAAGCTTTATAAATTATTATCTAGAAGAAAATTGTTTTTGAGAGATCAGATTGGTATAAAATAAAATTAATAAATCTTTCTCCGATATCAGGAATAGCCTTCTGTAGAGGGCGGAACGGAGCACCTTAATTAACAGAATGTCAGATTCATGTCAAAACATGGCTGAAGCAAAATTATTCCTGAATATTCCTCTTCAAAACGGGTATTTTTACATAAGACAGGAGCTATTTTTTATGAGATGATAATGTATGTTTAAACTTTCTTAATTTATCAGAATCATGAACTTGCATTTGCTAAAAAGTAGTGGTTAGGCCTTCACGCAAGTGCGGGAGCGGATTCCAGTTCAAATTAATAAAAACGATGGAAATTAAATTTTAATGATTCTAACTATTATTGTATGAAGTATTCATTCATATGCAAGCAATATATTAACAAGAAAATGTGAAATGCTAATGAATACAGCCGACAATAGCTACTTTAAAGATAATTTAATAGTTAATAAAATTAGTAAAAAAAAATCTTCAGACAAAACAGAAGAAGACTGAATGCTGCCAAAATATCAGATCACATCAGCGGAAGTGAATTTTGTTAATGAAACTCTTAAAATCTTCTTTAATTGTAAATTTTATATCTGCGTATTGCCCTAGCTGTTTCGAAGGGGGGGGGGGGGAATCTTGAAAAAAATGACATGTTAATTAACCATCATTTTGTAGTGAGTATTAAGCGGTAGCATTTTGAAAACTTCAAGATGAAGGGTTGCCTTTGATAGGAAAGTCAAGGTCATTTCACTTGAAATCCAAAACACAAAGCAGAACTTGCTTTCTTAACAACAAGAGAAAGATATAAATATATATAGAGAAGAAGGGGGTAAACTATGATATGGTCTTATATATTTGAAAAGGAGGAAAATAAAAATGCGCCCACCTGTTATATAACATATAAAAACTTTTTTTTTATGGAAACTCGTTTCTATGGCAATAGGAACGTTTTCCGTCTCTTGTCTGTCACCAGAGAAGGTTAATCTCTACGTTCCGTACTATGTGTATTATACCGGTGCTGTCCCCTCAAACTACTTAAATGAAAGCAAAATGAATAGTTTTTAGTGTTTAAGAAACGTTGGTCCTACGTTTTATGGAAATGCTATGATATTTTCTTTCTTCTTAATCATATCAAGAAACTGGTGAAATTGAAAGCTTTTCAGATTAGCCTTTACGTGCCCTAAGATTATTAGACGAGAAAGAAATAAAAAAGACAAAGGAATTGAATGATTTACAGCTTTAAAAAGATAAATCATGAACGTATATACAACTTTTATTGGCCACTCGTATCAAGAAAGTGCAAATAGGAATTTTTCCGTTTTTAGATAGACATCCTTTGCAAATTTGATAAATATCCGCACAACTATGGGTGTTGACCTTTATTTCCATGAAGTTTGATAGAGGTTTTCTGAGCTTTCTACGAGAACGCTCCAAAGCAAAAGAAAGGTGAATAAAAAACAATAAGTTGTCCCGACTTCCATCCACTGACCATCAAATTCATTTTATGCAGAAACTGCTGTGATACATGGAAAGGATTAAACCAATAAAGTTTTGAAAAGTTTGCTTTAGTAGTTATTGAGAAAAATGAAACTAAAAAAAAATCCTTTTTCTATGGCAACGGTAGGAATTTTTTGAATGTTGACTGAATAATCATAATTCTTGCAAATATTCATCACAATTGTTCAAGCTACCTCGGAAATCATCTGTGCGTTTATTAACCTTTTTCTGTTTCTTTCATTCCTAAGGTAACTGTTTGCAAAGGATTCTATTTTTTTTAATAGACATTACGTTGACAAATTGTAGGGAACAATCCTTACACGTTTCAAAATAATTGCCTGAGCAATTTGTGTAAAAATCGAAGTTTAGCAATGTTTACTTATCTTCTGTTTTCCATGTGGTTTGAAAATTTAGAATTTAGAACTACAACTACTGGTTATCATTTCTATGAAGATTCATTACGATTCTCTAAGCACTTCTGGACAAAATTCTTCACTTTTAGTACGTTTCCATGGCAACGTTAACCATGTTGAAACTGAACTTTTTTCCTACACATATGCAGCTGGTCATCATCTTTTATGGAAAGTTCCGACAACAAGCCGGGGAAGTCCCCGGACAATGTTTCCATGCGTACCGATAGCAATATGTCCCCTGACTTGGTTTGGGGTTACATAAAAATCCATCTTAATATGTGATCAATAAAGTCACGTCTTTACTCCAGAACCCCTGACCCAAGAATCATGGATTTCATAGCTGGAAGAGGCATTTTTGATCCTCATAACAATGCACTGATTTTGTCTGCTATATATTCAGTAGAATAGAAGATTTTCAAAGAATTAATTCATTTTCCTATATAATCAATACATGCAGCCCAACCCTAACTCCGGAACACCTGACTCAAGGGGTATGAATTTTACAATCTTGGAAAAAGAGGCACACTTGCTAAGCAGAATTATTCACTTAGCTTGTCGGCTTAGTACTCAGTCGAAGAGAAATAGATTTTGGAAGAATTTATGCATTTTCACTACATGAGCTATTAGCCCCACCTTGTCATGGATTTCAAAACCTTGAAGGATTTTTTTTTCTCATTATAATCATTCACTTATTATTTTCTATTAAATACCAAGGGACAAAAAAAAAAAATATTTTCAAAGAAATAATACGTTTTCGCAATATGAGAAATAGAAAGTGGGGGACATGAAATTCAGAATTGTTGTTCTTCATAGGATGCTTTATGCTAAGATTGATTGAAATCAGTTCATTTGTTCCGGAGAAGTTGAAAATGTTCAAATGTAAACACGAGACACACAACCACTTCGCACGGCGACGGCCGAAAACTGATTGCAATAGGTAACCTGAGTGATAAGGCGGCCTAAAAAAATCTTCTTTTTGTGGGGTTTTTAAAATAGGACGACGCATTTTTGATTTTACACAACATAAAGGGGTCTGCGAATGTACTCAACGCACCCCGTTCTGAAAGCCTTAATGTTCTTAATTATTCTTCACTAAATTAAAGAATAAATAAATAATGGAAGTAAGGGTATAAAAGGACCGTAACGCAAAATATATAAAGAATTAATTTGCAAAAACATACCGAAATACAAAACAAACAGATTAAACTAAAATCAACAGATTCAATTGCAAAATCAACATTTTCCCTTGCAAAATGAAGGATCATCGATGAAAAAAGCAAGCCATTTACTGATTTCACAGAAAAAAGATGGATCCAGCCCACAAGGAAAAATTGATGCTCAACAAGCAGAATTGTAGGGAATTCACATGCCTCAATTAAATTCACAATAATTAAGACAACTGATATATTGATGACATATTTCGGGTATAGAATGAAAGTTAAATGTCTAAAATTTTAACGAAATGCATTAGGATGCATTTGAAGCATGAATTATGAAATGAAACGTGTATTGAAATACGAAGCATTTTCGTTTGCGTACATTTTTTTAAGCCAGCTTAGTGCTATTCTGAGAAAAGGACGTCAAGCACGTAATAATAATCAGGGAATCACCTTGAACACCTAAAATTAAGCTGACATATTGCTCCAATATACGTCTATTTTTAAAAAGATACAAGCATCGTAAAACACTTTTGTTCATTATTCAAGCGTATGTTTTCTTCGCTCCCGCTTTCACTGAAAGTGGGGGAAATTGATTCCGCCCCTTTATCTTTCCCTCTGTCTGTAACACATTCGTTTCCGTGCAATATCTCGAGAAGCTTTGAACGTTTCAATGAAATTTTACATAGCAACTTCCTATCACCTAAAGAAAAAACCTATAGATATTGAGGTCAAAAGGTCAAAGGTCATGGTCATAAATTTAGTAGTTCTCTCTGTTTTAACAATTTCTTTTCCGTGCGATATCTCGAGAAGCCTTTGAGCTTTTGCAATTAAATTTTATACCACAACTCCCTATGGCCTACGAAAGATCCCTATTCATTTTAAGGTCAAAAGATCAAAGGCCAAGGTTGTTAATTCATACATTTTGCCTGTGTGTAACACTTTCTTTTCTGGCGATATCTGAAGAAGCTTTTGAGCTTTTACAACGAAATTTTATACCGTAATTCCCTGCGTCCTCGCTCGCCCCTGTCAAAGTGTCCCGCCCATTTTTTTTTTTTTTTTTTTTTTTTTTTTTTTTTTTGATTTTGCTCATTTATTTATTTATTTTTTCTTTTTCAAAACTGAAAAAGGAAATTTGTTGGCATTGATCGAGTTAAAAGTTTTGAGTTACTCCCCGTTTGTATTAAAAGTCGCTTGGCACTTTTTTTGCATAGGATCATATTGCGAGTTATTATACAGGTTATCGGCGGACTTTATATTACATTTATTAAAACTGTTTAGTAAAGGCTAAATTAATGGTTTCTTAAATGTGACTTATAGGTGCTTAAATGATACCTTCTAGACAATCTTTAAGTCACCATACAGCCACCATCAAGCCAAAATTTATCAGTGCGTAATGTCCATACTCCATTCAGCTATCATTAAACCACATTTAAACAAATATTAAGTCAAAATTTTGCAGGCGATGAAACAGCTTTTATGGGAAAAATACTGTCTATAATACATGTGATGTCTTCTTGCAAATAATATAGGTGGAATTTATACAAGGGTATAAATGTTAAGACTGTACATCAACTTGTATTTCAGATGGTCTAGACGTTCCAGTGGAGTTGTAAGTTTTACTTTAAAAAAATATAGCAATACTAACATTGTATATCCACTTGTATTGAAGCTGGTGAAGACACCCCTATGGAGTTGACAGCTATACAGCTGTAGGTCCCTGGCCGTTCTCTCTGTGTGTTGGGTATTGTGTAGGTAGACCCTGTATGGAGGACATTACTGGGACTGTCTGTCTTGATCCAGATCCATCTGATATCTGTGTTAGGATTGGCAGCAGTCAAAGTACATGTCATTGTAGCAGTCTGACCTTCTACAATCCTGTATGGTCTTAAAATAGTGGTATTCACCTCTGGTCTGTCTAAAAGACAAATGATTATGACGAATCTCTGGAATAAAAAGGTTATCGTGAAGATGTTTAGATTTTAAAATGATCCTTGAAATTATAATTCCTTTGGACCAGAGAATAATTCAAAAGCATACATTAATTTTTTTTCATGTTTATAAAAAAAGTTTTTACAGGGATGGTAAATAGTAAAGCCATTTAACCGTCAATCTAGAATAAGCCTACACTACTACAATTTGCATGGATATCGGCATGATGAAATGTAATTTTTCTAAGCTTTTTCATTATACAGTGTATATTGTATATTGGGAAAAAACTATCCAAATCCTACAAAGTTAATATGTGTAAAGCTCTCATGATGTAAATTTTATCACCTCTTCTAGTTTTCTGTTAATATCGCATGTATGGATGTATATGCATATGATTACTTTTGCCTTATATCGTCAGAAGTATTCAATGAAAATAATATTAAAATACACATCATGGGGCACTGAGGCTAATGTAAATGCCTGCGATTGACTATTATTGAAAAGTATATTTTACTTACCTGTACAAATATATGTTAATAGTAAACATACCGCATTTGTAATGTACTGCATGTAGGTGTCCTTTTAGAATTTGAATCTATATCAAGGTATTTTTGTTAAAATTGTACATCAACTTGTATTGCAGACGGTTTAGACGTCCCAGTTGAGTTGTTAGTTATACTTAAAAATATATTATTACTTACATTGCACATCCACTTGTATTGAAGCTGGTGAAGACACCCCTATGGAGTTGACAGCTCTACAGCTGTAGGTCCCTGACCGTTCTCTCTGTATGTTTGGTATTATGTAAGTAGACACTGTATGGAGAACATCACTGGGACTGTCTGTCTTGATCCAGCTCCATCTGATGTCTGTGTTAGGATTGGCAGCAGTCACACTACATGTAATTGTAGCAGTCTGACCTTCTACAATCCTGTATGGACTTAAAATAGTGGTATTCACCTCTGGTCTGTCTAAAAGACAAATAATTATGACGAATCGCTGGAATAAAAAGGTCATCGTGAAAATGTTTAAAATTTAAAATGATCTTTGAAATTATAATTCCTTTTGACCAGAGAATAATTCAATGACATACATTAAATTGATTCATGTTAATGCCAAAAAAAAGAAGTTTATACAGTGATGGTTAATAATAAAACCGTTTAACCCTCAATCTAGAATAAGCCTACACCGCCATAAATTGCATGGATATCGACATGATGAATTGTAATTTTTCTAAGGTTTTTCATTAAACAGTGTATATTGTATATTGGGAAAAAACTATCCAAATCCTACAAAGTTATTATGTGTAAAGCTCTCATGATGAAAATTTCATCGCCTCTTCTTGTTTTCTGTTAATATCGCATGTATGGATGTATGTGCATATACATGTACATGTAATTGCTTTTGCCCTATATCGTCAGAAGTATTCAATGAAATTAATATTGAAATACACATCATGGGGCACTGATGCTAATGTAGATGTCTGCGATAGACTAATATTGAAACTACATTTTACATACGTGTACAAATATATGTTAATAGTAAACATACCGCATTTGTAATGTACTGCATGTAGGTATCCTTATAGAGTTTGAATTCATACCAAGGTATTATTGTTAAAATTGTACATCAACTTGTATTGCAGACGATTTAGACGTCCCAGTTGAGTTGTTAGTTATACTAAAAATATATTATTACTTACATTGTACATCCACTTTTATTGTAGCTGGTGAAGACACCCCTATGGAGTTGTCGGCTCTACAGCTGTAGGTCCCTGACCGTTCTCTCTGTATGTTGGGTATTGTGTAGGTAGACAGTGTATGGAGGACATTAACGGGACTGTCTGTCTTGATCCAGCTCCATCTGATGTCTGAATTAGGATAAGCAGCAGTCAAAGTACATGTCATTGTAGCAGTCTGACCTTCTACAATCCTGTATGGACTTAAAATCGTAGTAAGATTCACCTCTGGTCTATCTAAAAGACAAATGATTATGACGAATCTCTGGAATAAAAAGGTTATCGTTAAAGTGTTTAAAATTTAAAATGATCTTTGAAATTATAATTCCTTTGGACCAGAGAATAATTCAATAAGTATCCCTAAATCGTCAGAAGTATTCAATGAAATTAATATTGAAATACACATCATGGGCACTGAGGCTAATGTAGATGTCTGCGATAGATATTATTGAAAACTAACTTTTACATACATGTACAAATATATGTTAATAGTAAACATACCGCATTTGTAATGTATTGCATGTAGGTATCCTTATAGAGTTTGAATTTATATCAAGGTATTATTTTCAAAATTGTACATCAACTTGTATTGCAGACGGTTTAAACGTCCCAGTTGAGTTGTTAGTTATATTTAAAAAAATATATTATTACTTACATTGTACATCCACTTGTATTGTAGCTGGTGAAGACACCCCTATGGAGTTGTCGGCTCTACAGCTGTAGGTCCCTGACCGTTCTCTCTGTATGTTGGGTATTGTGTAGGTAGACCGTGTATGGAGGACATTACTGGGACTGTCTGTCTTGATCCAGATCCATCTGATGTCTGTGTCAGGATTAGCAGCAGTTACAGTACATGTCATTGTAGCAATCTGACCTTCTACAATCTTGTATGGACTTAAAATAGTGGTATTCACCTCTGGTCTACCTACAGTGAACAAAATAAGTACATGTATGCATACAAGAAGTATCAACTTTTACTTCTAAAAAGAAGCACATAAAAAACCCTTAAATAGGAAGAAGATAAAAATAAAGGAAAATAAAATATAGAATCAAGGAATCAGTTAATTAATATCTTCAGTGCATTAGTTAGTAAGGTGTAAATCAGATATTGATACTTAAAACTTTTTAAAAGGTTTTCTTTAAATCACCCCTGTTTACGAAAGAAAATATTGCCCAAACAACGCGTTTGTTCCTTCAACTCGACCTTTAGACATATTGAATGACGTATTATCAATTTACAATAGTTACTTCCATTCATATGCCGACTTCCACCTTTTTTATGCTCGATACTTTCCTGAATTCAATTTTATACTACGAATTCGTTCCGATCGACTGAATTTCGTTTTCCTCTACTGATATAGCGTTTTTATTTGTTTTTTGTAGTTTATTTTCAAATTTTATTATTTACTCTTCATAACTAATTCAATTTAAAGAAAAAAAAATACAGTTTTGTTGCCATAATTGCTTTACGCGATAAGTGTCATTTATCAAAGAAGAATAGACTAAACTTGATAACTCTCTCGTCTTAGGGATCAAAAATCCCTATGCTACGATAGATGCGCGTCAATTATTTCTGCATCATCGCTTCGACAGAGGAAATAGGCATACAGTCTATGCTTCACCATCAAGATACCGTTATAGCTATTAAGTTGGTACTTCTTTAATAGAATATATTGGTACAGTCCCTGAAACGTTCTACTTTCCCATTTTTCCGTTCGCTCACCGTTCGTACACCGTTCCTTCAGCGTGCGTTCACCGTTCGTTCACCGTGCGTTCACCGTTCGCTCTCCGTTCACTGTTTTGCGTTCACCGTTCACCGTGCGCTCGCGTTCACCGTTCACAAAGCGTTCAGCGTTCGCTCTTCGTTCCGTTCACTTTGCGTTCACCTTGCGTTCACCATTCACCTATCGTTCAGTTTTCATTGTCATTCGGAAGTGAAAGGACTTATCTTTTTGTAGTTAAGGAGTTACAGGTTTTTTTAATTTATTAACTAACATATCGTATTTGAAGAATAATTATTTCATGAGGAAAAATATCTACGATGTATATTTTTATTATTCTAACTTAGCTGTTAGGTTATTTATTAAATTACTCTGGAAAATAAATGTTGTTACAAACACATTCTGTACCTATGTAGAACGATGCTGAAATATTAAATTTAACTAAGGGCAATGTGCAAATACTTCAAGCACTGCAACATTTTGTTGTTTTGTTAAAGACGACAAATCGTTAATGGAGATATAATTATTCAAGTCAAATAATTACGCTGCAAAATTACGAAAATATTTATTTCTAATACGTTTTTTTTCAATTACTACAGAAAATATAATAGAACTAGTTCTGAGAGTTATACATAGTACTGCGGATATCCTGTCAATTTATTATCTTTAGAACGAATTAAATTGATAGTGTGGTTAAAGGAAATATTTATTTAAAATGTAATGCACTACAGAATTTCTCTACTGTAATATGTAAAGTCTATAGTTATAGAGAAAAAAAATCTTTCTTCACCGTAACTTTATATGTTTGCCATTCGATATGATTAATACCCCCCCCTTTCCCCCTAAATCGGTGACTTAGTCAGTACCGTATTTTCAGAATATTTTAATTAACATTACAAAAAAGCTACGGTCTTTTTTAGAACAAAAATTTCAGTCTCAAAACAAACATGCATCTTAAAAAAGTCACAAAACAATAGTAGATCAAAATGTACACGTGTCGGCGGTGGTATTTGAAGTTGGCAGAGAGTATGTTTCACATTCAAGTGTTAATGCCCAATGTATTTACTAATTTATTATTCAAATGTTGGAATCAAATCTAGAAATGATAATAATAAATGTTATAACTTGTTGGAAATACTCGCACTTCGTCTTCGATGTGACGAAACTTTCACACCTGCACACCTGCACAGTGTCGAATGATTTTGATTGACAGGACAAGCACGTGGAGTTCGTGTGAACTTGAAGCAGGAAAATAAAAACGAGTATGACTGTCAAACAAATGGATATGATTTGTTGATAAAAAAAAAAAGTTACTTTCACTGTCTGATATATTTAGAAAAAAAAATTCAGAGTTTTTGTTTGATATAGGTACAAACATTTGGTGAAGCCTGAAAGGAGGGGGGGGGGGGGGCTAAAACTGAATATTACTCTCTCTCTCTCTTTCATTTGTCTGTTTAATAAAAACTATAACACCATATTACTTAACTATCAAGTTCTGAAAATTGAATGTATAACAATAATATGAATATGTATCTTTGTATCATCTTGTCCGAGTATAATCACGGCCATCTAGAGATACATGTAGACGTCTGCTCAATAAATCATAATGAAAAATAGAAATGACACATAATATATTATTGTATTAAAAGTTTAAAATATGAGCGTATAAATGTAATTATTTTTTTTTCATAACTTTACACGAAATCGCCTTGACACGGAGATATTTATATATGAATATAAGTTACAACGGCTTTAATTCATTCTATAAATCATAAGTTTTCTCTGATTTGTTATCAAATAAGAATAAACATTTTTATTTTCCAAATAAAAACAATATCTTTTATACTTCAGCGTTCGGCAACATTGCAATGTTTTAATGCGATAAAAATCGTGTGATTAAAAACTTACCGGTAATGTGCATGCACCGTCTTTCTTAGGACAATTTTGGAGAATTCATTTTATTGACTTATTTATTCATTCATTTGTTTGTTTACTTATTTATTATTTGGTTTTTTTTGGTGTGTTTTTTTATTGGCACCTGACATTATAATACAATAAAATAGTTTCAATGCAAGGAAAATATCAGAGGCATTCCGAATATATCGTTCATCTTGCGTTCACCGTTCGTTCACCGTTCACTTTGCGTTCGCGTTTGCGCTCCGTTCGCGTTCTGCGTTCGCTCACCGTTCACCGTTCACACATCGTTCACCAAGTTGCGTTCAGCGTTCACACATCGTTCACTCACCGTTCGCTCTGCGTTCGTTCAGCGTTCGTTCACCGTTCGTTCAGCGTTCGCTCACCGTTCAAGTGGGAAAGTAGAACGTTTCAGGGACTGTATGTATTACACATCTGACGAGGCGTTAAAACCTCAGTAGTCGGTGAATGTTTTTATCATCATCAATGAAAATAATATAAACAAATGTTTACTCAGTAAACGATATGCCTGTGAAATATTTAGAGCTACTTCTCAAGTTAAAAACATATAAATATCCAAAGTTAGTTACTGATATAGATATCATCATTGCAAACATGGAATTACACAGTCGACCAATTTGCAGAAAGATACATCGGTTATAATGAGTATCAAAATCGCTCTGGGCTAGTCCAGGTCTTCAACAGTCTACTGCAAGGAAAGCAAATCCTGGTGACTAGATGATGCCGTGTGCAAACACCTAACATCACAACCACTCTGATTCTCCAGGCGTCGTTTGCTGATCTAGGTTTTCTTTAAATCACCCCTGTTTACGAAAGAATACATTGCCCAAACAACGCGTTTGTTCCTTCAACTCGACCTTTAGACATATTGAATGACGTATTATCAATTTACAATAGTTACTTCCATTCATATGCCGACTTCCACCTTTTTTATGCTCGATACTTTCCTGAATTCAATTTTATACTACGAATTCGTTCCGATCGACTGAATTTCGTTTTCCTCTACTGATATAGCGTTTTTATTTGTTTTTTGCAGTTTATTTTCAAATTTTAATATTTACTCTTCATAACTAATTCAATTTAAAGAAAAAAAAATACAGTTTTATTGCCATAATTGCTTTACGCGATAAGTGTCATTTATCAAAGAAGAATAGACTAAACTTGATAACTCTCTCGTCTTAGACATCAAAAATCCCTATGCTACGATAGATGAATCCAAATATTTCATTTTTTTTTTAAATGTTTTTCCTTAAAAAAATCAATAATGCTTGTTATGAATTTATTTGTTAAAATAATGAATATATTTATAGCGTTTTGAGAATTTATTGCACTTGGATGTAAAACTTCGCTTGTCTACGGACTCAAAATTCAAATTTATCGATTCGAAGGAATTTCGACATTGGTATAATTACACAAAAAATCGCCTAATTTCCATCATAGAGTGGAATTAATCTTAAAATAATTACAGTTTGAATTCGATGACGATCAATTTTGTTGACAAAAACACCGTATCTTTTACAAAGCATAATTACTTCAAATGTTTTATCATGATAAATTTCAAGTGTTTTATCATTTCGATTTGCGGCTTTGTAAATAATTAAAATTATCATATTACAGTATATCAAAAAGGAAACTTTTCGTCTTGTCAAAAAAAAACGTTTTGCATTTTGAAACAATCCTATCAGGTTTTGCGTTTATCCTATCGTGAAGATCGTTTATCAGGTCTATCGTGTTTTGCGTTTATCGTATTTTGCGTTTATCGTGTTTTGCGTTTATCCTATCGTGCGTGTATCCTGTCCTATCGTGCGTGTATCCTATCGTTTCGTGTATCCTGTAAAGAATAACGATGCGGGTACTGTACATCGTGTTTGCTGAGCGGCGTGCGTGATATTTATATATTTGAAAATTGACTGGATAAATGAGGAGAACTATGCGTTTATGAAAATGCATTTGTCGATGTTTTAATTGATGGCCTTTTGCTTTACTTGTTAGAATACTAATTCAACAAGAACGTCAAAATACTGGTAGGATTCATCATCTGGCTTAAGCGGAAGAAATCTGTGCAGGTGTGGACAAATGCCTTGCTAGAGATGGTTTTTCTGTGTGTTTACAGTAAAATATTCATGTACCCAATTCTTCTTAAAGAATTTGGTGTACTATTGGCAACAAGGTCAGCATTTGTAAGTGATGAATAAGCTGATTGTGATGATACAGCTATTGGCTTTACATAGTTGCTGCTATTGAAAATTAAGCATATGTCATTGTCGGAAGATGGTTGTTACATTGTACCTGTACCTCCATCATAGGCAGATATAATCTTCGAAAGTAGATCAGCAAACGACGCCTGGAGAATCAGAGTGGTTGTGATGTTAGGTGTTTGCACACGGCATCATCTAGTCACCAGGATTTGCTTTCCTTGCAGTAGACTGTTGAAGACCTGGACTAGCCCAGAGCGATTTTGATACTCATTATAACCGATGTATCTTTCTGCAAATTGGTCGACTGTGTAATTCCATGTTTGCAATGATGATATCTATATCAGTAACTAACTTTGGATATTTATATGTTTTTAACTTGAGAAGTAGCTCTAAATATTTCCAAGGCATATCGTTTACTGAGTAAACATTTGTTTATATTATTTTCATTGATGATGATAAAAACATTCACCGACTACTGAGGTTTTAACGCCTCGTCAGATGTGTAATACATACCAATATATTCTATTAAAGAAGTACCAACTTAATAGCTATAACGGTATCTTGATGGTGAAGCATAGACTGTATGCCTATTTCCTCTGTCGAAGCGATGATGCAGAAATAATTGACGCGCATCTATCGTAGCATAGGGATTTTTGATCCCTAAGACGAGAGAGTTATCAAGTTTAGTCTATTCTTCTTTGATAAATGACACTTATCGCGTAAAGCAATTATGGCAACAAAACTGTATTTTTTTTTCTTTAAATTGAATTAGTTATGAAGAGTAAATATTAAAATTTGAAAATAAACTGCAAAAAACAAATAAAAACGCTATATCAGTAGAGGAAAACGAAATTCAGTCGATCGGAACGAATTCGTAGTATAAAATTGAATTCAGGAAAGTATCGAGCATAAAAAAGGTGAAAGTCGGCATATGAATAGAAGTAACTATTGTAAATTGATAATACGTCATTCAATATGTCTAAAAGTCGAGTTGAAGGAACAAACGCGTTGTTTGGGCAATATTTTCTTTCGTAAACAGGGGTGATTTAAAGAAAACCTTTTAAAAAGTTTTAAGTATCAATATCTGATTTACACCTTACTAACTAATGCACTGAAGATATTAATTAACTGATTCCTTGATTCTATATTTTATTTTCCTTTATTTTTATCTTCTTCCTATTTAAGGGTTTTTTATGTGCTTCTTTTTAGAAGTAAAAGTTGATACTTCTTGTATGCATACATGTACTTATTTTGTTCACTGTAGGTAGACCAGAGGTGAATACCACTATTTTAAGTCCATACAAGATTGTAGAAGGTTAGATTGCTACAATGACATGTACTGTAACTGCTGCTAATCCTGACACAGACATCAGATGGATCTGGACCAAGACAGACAGTCCCAGTAATGTCCTCCATACACGGTCTACCTACACAATACCCAACATACAGAGAGAACGGTCAGGGACCTACAGCTGTAGAGCCGACAACTCCATAGGGGTGTCTTCACCAGCTACAATACAAGTGGATGTACAATGTAAGTAATAATATATTTTTTAAATATAACTAACAACTCAACTGGGACGTTTAAACCGTCTGCAATACAAGTTGATGTACAATTTTGACAATAATACCTTGATATAAATTCAAACTCTATAAGGATACCTACATGCAGTACATTACAAATGCGGTATGTTTACTATTAACATATATTTGTACATGTATGTAAAAGTTAGTTTTCAATAATATCTATCGCAGACATCTACATTAGCCTCAGTGCCCATGATGTGTATTTCAATATTAATTTCATTGAATACTTCTGACGATTTAGGGATACTTATTGAATTATTCTCTGGTCCAAAGGAATTATAATTTCAAAGATCATTTTAAATTTTAAACACTTTAACGATAACCTTTTTATTCCAGAGATTCGTCATAATCATTTGTCTTTTAGATAGACCAGAGGTGAATCTTACTACGATTTTAAGTCCATACAGGATTGTAGAAGGTCAGACTGCTACAATGACATGTACTTTGACTGCTGCTAATCCTAACTCAGACATCAGATGGAGCTGGATCAAGACAGACAGTCCCAGTAATGTCCTACATACACGGTCTACCTACACAATACCCAACATACAGAGAGAACGGTCAGGGACCTACAGCTGTAGAGCCGACAACTCCATAGGGGTGTCTTCACCAGCTACAATACAAGTGGATGTACAATGTAAGTAATAATATATTTTTAGTATAACTAACAACTCAACTGGGACGTCTAAATCGTCTGCAATACAAGTTGATGTACAATTTTAACAATAATACCTTGGTATGAATTCAAACTCTAAAAGGATACCTACATGCAGTACATTACAAATGCGGTATGTTTACTATTAACATATATTTGTACACGTATGTAAAATGTAGTTTTCAATATTAGTCTATCGCAGACATCTACATTAGCCTCAGTGCCCCATGATGTGTATTTCAATATTAATTTCATTGAATACTTCTGACGATATAGGGCAAAAGTAATTACATGTACATGTATATGCACATACATCCATACATGCGATATTAACAGAAAACAAGAAGAGGCGATGAAATTTTCATCATGAGAGCTTTACACATAATAACTTTGTAGGATTTGGATAGTTTTTTCCCAATATACAATATACACTGTTTAATGAAAAACCTTAGAAAAATTACAATTCATCATGTCGATATCCATGCAATTTATGGCAGTGTAGGCTTATTCTAGATTGAGGGTTAAACGGTTTTATTATTAACCATCACTGTATAAACTTTTTTTTTTGGCATTAACATGAATCAATTTAATGTATGTCATTGAATTATTCTCTGGTCAAAAGGAATTATAATTTCAAAGATCATTTTAAATTTTAAACATTTTCACGATGACCTTTTTATTCCAGAGATTCGTCATAATCATTTGTCTTTTAGACAGACCAGAGGTAAATACCACTATTTTAAGTCCATACAGGATTGAAGAAAGTCAGACTGCTACAATTACATGTAGTGTGACTGCTGCCAATCCTAACACAGACATCAGATGGAGCTGGATCAAGACAGACAGTCCCAGTGATGTTCTCCATACAGTGTCTACTTACATAATACCCAACATACAGAGAGAACGGTCAGGGACCTACAGCTGTAGAGCTGTCAACTCCATAGGGGTGTCTTCACCAGCTTCAATACAAGTGGATGTACAATGTAAGTAATAATATATTTTTAAGTATAACTAACAACTCAACTGGGACGTCTAAACCGTCTGCAATACAAGTTGATGTACAATTTTAACAATAATACCTTGGTATGAATTCAAACTCTAAAAGGACACCTACATGCAGTACATTACAAATGCGGTATGTTTACTATTAACATATATTTGTACAGGTAAGTAAAATATACTTTTCAATAATAGTCAATCGCAGGCATTTACATTAGCCTCAGTGCCCCATGATGTGTATTTTAATATTATTTTCATTGAATACTTCTGAGGATATAAGGCAAAAGTAATCATATGCATATACATCCATACATGTGATATTAACAGAAAACTAGAAGAGGTGATAAAATTTACATCATGAGAGCTTTACACATATTAACTTTGTAGGATTTGGATAGTTTTTTCCCAATATACAATATACACTGTATAATGAAAAAGCTTAGAAAAATTACAATTCATCATGTCGATATCCATGCAAATTGTAGTAGTGTAGGCTTATTCTAGATTGACGGTTAAATGGCTTTACTATTTACCATCTCTGTAAAAACTTTTTTATAAACATGAAAACAAATTAATATATGCTTTTGAATCATTCCCTGGTCCAAAGGAATTATAATTTCAAGGATCATTTTAAAATCTAAACATCTTTACGATAACCTTTTTATTCCAGAGATTCGTCATAATCATTTGTCTTTTAGACAGACCAGAGGTAAATACCACTATTTTAAGACCATACAGGATTGTAGAAGGTCAAACTGCTACAATGACATGTACTTTGACTGCTGCCAATCCTAACACAGATATCAGATGGAGCTGGATCAAGACAGACAGTCCCAGTAATGTCCTCCATACAGGGTCTACCTACACAATACCCAACATACAGAGAGAACGGTCAGGGACCTACAGCTGTATAGCTGTCAACTCTATAGGGGTGTCTTCACCAGCTTCAATACAAGTGGATATACAATGTTAGTATTGCTATATTTTTTTAAAGTAAAACTTACAACTCCACTGGAACGTCTAGACCATCTGAAATACAAGTTGATGTACAGTCTTAACATTTATACCCTTGTATAAATTCCACCTATATTATTTGCAAGAAGACATCACATGTATTATAGACAGTATTTTTCCCATAAAAGCTGTTTCATCGCCTGCGAAATTTTGACTTAATATTTGTTTAAATGTGGTTTAATGATAGCTAAATGGAGTATGGACATTACGCACTGATAAATTTTGGCTTGATGGTGGCTGTATGGTGACTTAAAGATTGTCTAGAAGGTATCATTTAAGCACCTATAAGTCACATTTAAGAAACCATTAATTTAGCCTTTACTAAACAGTTTTAATAAATGTAATATAAAGTCCGCCGATAACCTGTATAATAACTCGCAATATGATCCTATGCAAAAAAAGTGCCAAGCGACTTTTAATACAAACGGGGAGTAACTCAAAACTTTTAACCCGATCAATGCCAACAGATTTCCTTTTTCAGTTTTGAAAAAAATAAATAAATAAATAAATGAGCAAAATCAAAAAAAAAAAAAAAAAAAAAAAAAAAAAAAAAAGAAAAAAAGAAAAAAAAGAAAAAAAAGAAATTGGCGGGGCACTTTGACAGGGGCGAGCGAGGCCGCAGGGAATTACGGTATAAAATTTCGTTGTAAAAGCTCAGAAGCTTCTTCAGATATCGCCAGAAAAGAAAGTGTTACACACAGGCAAAATGTATGAATTAACAACCTTGGCCTTTGATCTTTTGACCTTAAAATGAATAGAGATCTTTCGTAGGCCATAGGGAGTGGTGGTATAAAATTTAATTGCAAAAGCTCAAAGGCTTCTCGAGATATCGCACGAAAAAGAAATTGTTAAAACAGAGAGAACTATTAAATTTATGACCATGACCTTTGACCTTTTGACCTCAATATCTATAGGTTTTTTCTTTAGATGATAGGAAGTTGCTATGTAAAATTTCATTGAAACGTTCAAAGCTTCTCGAGATATTGCACGGAAACGAATGTGTTACAGACAGAGGGAAAGATAAAGGGGCGGAATCAATTTCCCCCACTTTCAGTGAAAGCGGGAGCGAAGAAAACATACGCTTGAATAATGAACAAAAGTGTTTTACGATGCTTGTATCTTTTTAAAAATAGACGTATATTGGAGCAATATGTCAGCTTAATTTTAGGTGTTCAAGGTGATTCCCTGATTATTATTACGTGCTTGACGTCCTTTTCTCAGAATAGCACTAAGCTGGCTAAAAAATGTACGCAAACGAAAATGCTTCGTATTTCAATACACGTTTCATTTCAAAATTCATGCTTCAAATGCATCCTAATGCATTTCGTTAAAATTTTAGACATTTAACTTTCATTCTATACCCGAAATATGTCATCAATATATCAGTTGTCTTAATTATTGTGAATTTAATTGAGGCATGTGATTTCCCTACAATTCTGCTTGTTGAGCATCAATTTTTCCTTGTGGGCTGGATCCATCTTTTTTCTGTGAAATCAGTAAATGACTTGCTTTTTTCATCGATGATCCTTCATTTTGCAAGGGAAAATGTTGATTTTGCAATTGAATCTGTTGATTTTAGTTTAATATGTTTTTCTTTTTTTTTCTTTTTTTTTTTTTTTTTTGGTATTTCGCAAATTAATTCTTTATATATTTTGCGTTACGGTCCTTTTATACCCTTACTTCCATTATTTATTTATTCTTTAATTTAGTGAAGAATAATTAAGAACATTAAGGCTTTCAGAACGGGGTGCGTTGAGTACATTTGCAGCCCCCTTTATGTTGTGTAAAATCAAAAATGCGTCGTCCTATTTTAAACCCCCCCCCCCCCAAAAAGAAGATTTTTTTTAGGCCTCCTTATCACTCAGGTTACCTATTGCAATCAGTTTTCGGCCGTCGCCGTGCGAAGTGGTTGTGTGTCTCGTGTTTACATTTGAACATTTTCAACTTCTTCTCCGGAACAAATGAACTGATTTCAATCAATCTTAGCATAAAGCATCCTATGAAGAACAACAATTCTGAATTTCATGTCCCCCACTTTCTATTTTTCATATTGCGAAAACGTATTATTTCTTTGAAAATCTTTTTTTTTTTTTTTTTGTCCCTTGGTATTTAATAGAAAATAATAAGTGAATGATTATAATGAGAAAAAAAATCCTTCAAGGTTTTGAAATCCATGACAAGGTGGGGCTAATAGCTCATGTAGTGAAAATGCATAAATTCTTCCAAAATCTATTTCTCTGCGACTGAGTACTAAGCTGACAAACTAAGTGAATAATTCTGCTGAGTAAGTGTGCCTCTTTTTCCAAGATTGTAAAATTCATACCCCTTGGGTCAGGTGTTCCGGAGTTAGGGTTGGGCTGCATGTATTGATTATATAGGAAAATGAATTAATTCTTTGAAAATCTTCTATTCTACTGAATATATAGCAGACAAAATCAGTGCATTGTTATGAGGATCAAAAATGCCTCTTCCAATTATGAAATCCATGATTCTTGGGTCAGGGGTTCTGGAGTAAAGGCGTGACTTTATTGTTCGTTTACCGTACGTTCACTGTTCGTCTTTCGTTCACAGTTTTGCGTTCAGCGGTCAAAGTGCGCTCGCGTTCATCGTTCACAAAGCGTTCACTCTTCGCTCTCCCTTCGCTCTCCCGTCGTCCACTTTGTGTTCACCTTGCGTTCAGCGTTCACTTATTGTTCACTCTTCACCGTCGTTCGGAACTCCGAAGTGAAGGGACTTTTTTGTAAGTAAGGATTTACCGGTTTCGAAATTTAATAATTAACATATCGTGTTTAAAGGATCATTAATTCATGGGAAAAATGATTTACAATGTGTTTTATTATTCTTCTAAATTAGCTGTTGGATTATTTATTAAATTGCTCTGGAAACTAGATGTAGTTATAAGTATGTACCTATGTAGAACGATGCTGAAGAATTAAATTTAATATGGGCAATATACGGATATTTCAAGCACTGCAACATTTTGTTGTTATTTTAAAGACGACAAATCGTTAATGGAGAGATAATAATCCATGTCAATTAATTTACCAACTGCAAAATATTTATTTCTAACACGTGTTTTTCAATTACTATAGAAATACATATTAAAACTACTTCTGAGAATTATAAATAGTACTGCGGAAATCCAGTTAATCAAATCTCTTTGGATCAAATTAAATTGAGAGTGTGTTTAAAAAAAATACTTATTTAAATGTAATACACAACATTTTTTTTCTACTTTACACATATAAAGTCTATTGTTAGAGAGAAAAATATCCTTCCTTCACCATTACTTTATCTGTTTGTAATTCGATATGATAACCCCCCTTTTTTCCCCACCTAAATCGGTTACTTAGTCAGTATTTACAGTATATTGTAATTAATATTTAGAAAAAAATTAATGCGTTTTGTTTCACAAAAAAAAAAAAAAAAAAAAAAAAAAAAAAAAAAAAAATCAGTTTCAAAACAAACATGCATCTAAAAAGTCAGTAAACAATAGTAGTTCAAAATATACGCGTGCCGGCGGCGGTATTTTAAATTGGCAGGGAGTATGTTTCAAATTCATTCCAAGTGTTTTTATTTATTTATTGAAAAGTTGGGTTCAGGTCTAGAAATGGTAAAAATGTTAAAACTTCTTGGAAATACTACAAAGTAACACTTCACCTTTGGTGTGACGAGATTTTCACACCTGCACAGTGCCGAATGATTTTGATTGACAGCACAAGCACATGTACTTCGTGTGAACTTGAAGCAAGAAAATGAAAACCGATTATGACTGTCAAACAAATGTGTATGTTGATGTAATAATATTACTTTCACTGCGTGATATACATGCATTTGCGGAAGGGGGTCTAAAATGGAATATCTCTCTCTCTCTCTCTCTCTCTCTCTCTCTCTCTCTCTCTCTCTCTCTCTCTCATTTGTCCGTTTAATCTAAACTATGACAGCATATTATTTATATATCAAGTTCTCAAATTTTAATCTATAACAAATTATATGAATACTTCTTTGTATCATCTTGTCCGAGTATAATCATGGGAAATTGTCTACAGATGCATGTAGAAGTCTGTTTAATAAATCATCATAAAAATGAGAAGACACATAAATTTGTTATTGCATTGAATTTTAAAAATACGAATGTATTTACGCAATACGTCCACAGACCTTTGTAATTTTTTTTCCCTCATTATTTTACATGGAATCGCTTAGGCATGGAAATACATATGTGGTTGTAACAACCGTTGTAATTCATTCTCTAAGTCAGTTATTTCCTGTTCAAAAATCATTATTTGCAATGGTTGTATATATCAAATAAGAATAAACTTATTTTACAACTAGAATAATTTAATCTTTTAAACTACAGAGTTCGGTAACAATGACAATGTTTTACAGCGATAAAAATCGTGCGATTATAAACAGCTGAATTTAAACATCATACATATGTGCAGAAAATATTGTAAGAAACTTAATCAAATTCAATTTTGAAATATTTATTTATTTATTTATTTTACACCTGACATTAGAATACAATAGAATAGATACAATGCAAGGGAAAGATCAGAGGCATTCCGAATAAATCATTCATCTTGCTTTCACCGTTCGTTCACCGTTCACTTTGTGCTCGCGTTCACGCTCTGTTCGCGTTCTGCGTTCACTCATCGTTCACTTACCGTTCACCAAGTTGCGTTCAGCGTTATATATATATATGTAAGACTCCAAAGTCCGATGGTTTCGCCAAACCCCGATGGTCTGCGCCAAACCCCGATGGTTTGATGTCGGTTCGGACGCCAAAGTCCGATGGTCACGCCAAAGTCAGATGGCTCGTTTCCTATGAGACGCGCTGAGCTAAAGTGTGATGGTCTGACACGCCAAAGTCCGATGGTGCCGAGAAAAAAATCGACGTTTATGACGTCACAATATTCCGACGTCAATCCTTGACGCCGTTGTCCAATACTTCAGCAT